AAGCTCTTTGGAACTTTTATCAGCTTTATTTAATAGTTCTCTGTCATATTTTCGTTTTAGCTTCTTTATAAGATTATTACAGTAATTTCTATATCGACTGAGAGTAAGTTTTAGAATTTCATTTGATGGATCGGACCTAAGCTTCAGTTGCATTTGATTTCTGTTTCTGATACACTTAAGGATTCCAGCTGTGATCCAAGGTTTAATAGTCTGCTGGTTTTTAGTAAGACATTTTATTGTTTTACTTTCCTCCAGTGAAGTCGGGATCTTCGCAAGAGAGCAGACTCCTCCTATGAGAGGCTACTCCAAAAGAACCTTTTGGAGTAGCCTCTCATATGCAGTTTCAAAATTCACGCACGCAATGGTTTTATACTTAATTATTTTGTTTTTAAGTTTTGATATACACATGAATATAGTCAGATGATCTGTAAGTGTGGTATTTAATACAGCGATATTAGCGGAAAATTTTATTTTGTTTAATTTTACCATGAAGTGGTCTAAGCAGCTGGATTCTCTCGTGGACAGTTTGTGACCAGCAAGTAGGTCATGACTAGCTAGCATATTTAGATAGTCAATTCTATTATTGCGGCCATTAGTTTGTTCATTCCTGCCCTGAATGAAGTTGATGTCTCCAGAGATGACTATGTTATGATAAGATTTTATGCTTGCTAGGTATGCACTCAAAGACTCAATGAAATCAGATGCATTTAAGTTCGAAGGTGAACGATAAATGCCCAATATCATCAGATCAAGAATCCTTAGTTGTATGCAAGAGGCATGTTTGAGTTTAATTTTTTTAAATTCAGGATTTAGGCGAGATTTATCATAAATCACTACACCATAATTTTGGTTAAGATTATATGTTGCTTTAAGAGCAGCTTAATTAGGAATTTGTGGGATTGGCTTAGATTTATCTAGTCTGCATTCCGTTAGAACTAAGACGTCCATTTCAAAATTGAGGAGCGATAGGATAGCTTGGAAGTTATCAATGTTATGATAAATACTTCTAATGTTTTGACACAATATGGTAAGATCCGTTTTACCAATACTAATGCACTTGTTAGGACCTATATATCACAGCTTATGTGGTTACCTAATTCAACTTGATCCAAGTCCATTATTGTATTTAAAGAGTTAACTATATCCATGTTTGCGATACAAACAAATAAAGTATTTTGCTGATTTATTATAATAAGGTATATGAGAAAACAAGTGAGATGCTATAACCAATCGGTTTATTTCTAGTGTAATGCTGTAAATAAGCTTATTTGAGATACGTCTGAAATAAATAGGAACGACCAACCTGAGTTAATGGTTATAAATAAGAACCAACACGTAAATGGGCGATGATTGCGTTAGTAAGAACTTTCTATGTGTATTGTATGATTGATAAGTGTGTTATAGATTAGTGTGAGTGAATATACCGTAGTGAGTTGTTTGTCAGTAATTGAATTACAAATTATAATGGACAGAGTGATTACAAATATATCAATATCTGCAGTTAGGACAATAAGTTTAAATAACACATTGTAAATAATCACTAAAAAATTAATAAAAACAACAAAAATTCGGTGAAAACATGGAGTCATGCTTGTGTTGTTTATTGTAGAAGACGGTGTATTTGTGACTCGTTTCTTATTATAATAACTGGAGAGTTCTCGTCCTTTCTCACATAGACTCGACCAAAGACGTCCAACAAAACTTAAAGGTCTTTGATTTTGCGAGATCTCTGGCTAGAAAAAATTGCCGAGCGTTTTTGGGAGTTAGTTGTTCGGAAACAAAAAAGGGTGTTTCTTCCTTAGTCGTAAAGCCGAGGTGTTTTGCTTGAAGTTTATATTTATTTTTAATATTAAATGATTTCGACATTCTCAGTATATCACGTTTCAAAATAGTGGATCCCAGTTCTGCTATAATGGGAAGGTTTTTAGTGTTTTCACTTTTTCGGGTTTTTGTACGCACTCTGTAGATATCCTTTATTCAGACTTATCGATCTTACAGTCGATGTGATTAGACAAATGTTGAACCATGGTTATCAAATCTTCCTGTGTTTCGCTATTTATAATTGGTACATTTTTTATCTCAATATTCGTTTGTATGTCTTCAACTTTATCCTCTAGTAAGGTAATGTTATCTCTATCTTTTTTGGCTTGGATCTCCATTTGTTCTTTTTTTGTATTCCTCGTTTTGGCTAGTCAGGATAGCGATGGAGTTATCAATATTATGATTCGATTGCTGAATTTCCTTGATTTTACTGGTGATAGCTTGAAGTTCCAACTGTTGCGTTGTTATAAACGATGATAGCAGTTATAATTTCCTCTTTGAAATTGTTTAATTCGGTAGTTATGTCATCTTCCCTCCCTCTCTTCAATCTCTGTGTGATATGACTCGATTGCGTGCTATCAGTCAGCTCGTTTATGCGTGAAACGGATTTGTCTATATAGTTAGTTAGTTGAGGTATAGACATTGTTGTGGATGGTTTTTTTAGTCGGTGGACTGCGTTTAAGAGGCATTTTATTAAGTCTTTATTATTTCGTAAGATGTTTTAACAGTTTGATAATAGTTTTATCACAAGGTCACTTTTCCAAAAAAGGCCTGTCGTTTAATATTGTACTAGGACATAAGAAAATAAAAGACACTTAATAGAAATCCATAAAATAGTTTCTGGAATGTAGCTGTTGTGTGTACTATGTGCACAATACCAGGGAAGCATAATCCAAAGGCGATATCATGTATCATATATACTATGTAGATTCTAAAGGTAGCAGGCACCTTAAGTATAGGCTACACTTTCCTTCAGCTATCGTCAATATCTCATACAGAGTTGTATTCAGTTTCTACTCATGTTTGATTTTGCCATAGAAGAGCGAGATGTTTCTGATTAATCCTGATTAGATTGATGTCTTTCTTGCATTTTTGAGCGAACTCTTCGTCTAACACACAGAACAAGCTGTGCGCGAGATATCCGACGCCGTTTATAAGCCCGCGCCAGCGTCTAGAACGCGTGTATTGCTGAACGAGCAACATATGATGATAGTAATCCAGTTCAGTGGCCTCATGACGTAGTTGCGACAACATTACGTCACATTTTGTTTTGATATCTTGGAGCATATGTTATCCAAATAATCGAAGTACTTGCGGAACAAATACATGCCTTGCCAGTACGGATTCATTTCGTAGTAGACAAAGTTTCCACTGATCTCTGACAAGGTGCATGTTTTTTTTTTATAGGATCGGGTGACAAACGAGCACACAGTCCACCTGATGGTAAGTGGTTACTGTGACCCATAGACATCTACATCTATCCTCAATAAAGACTCAAGATGCAGATGCGTTGTCACCCGTGAGGACTAAGATGGAATGCCTCTTTGCCAGTAAAAAGGGTCTCCGGTTCTCAACACTCACCATACGAAACACAGCAGCGTTAAGCTGCTATTTTACGCTGGTTTTCTGTGAGAGCGTGGTCCTTCCCCGGTCGAGCCGACCCATTCGTGCTACAACCATAATATAGCTGCAGCATGGCTCTACCACGTAGAAAAATTGTCCAAAAATGTTGGAAATTTTGTCCAAATAAATGCTCTGATTATTGCTTAGACTAAGTAGGTGTAGGCACACTGAACGGCTGAAATGATGCTAAGTAAAGTAAGCGCTGCCAATTTTTATGATGTTGCATGATTTTTTGGCTTCGTGTTCTTTTTGCTTTGGTGCTTTCTGCTGTAGATTGCTTATTGCTTGATTCTGAATTTTGCTTGTCTAATATAAGTGGTGATATTTTTGTGATGGGCCTCTTGATGTTGTTTTAAGTTTTCAGGAACACCACTCGGACCAGATCGTCTTTTCCAGGTTGAAGTTCAACAACTCTACCGAGCGCCCACTTGCCGGGAGGTAAGTCGACGTCATGTATGACGTCAATGTCACCAATTTTCATGTTTCTTTGCTTCTGTTGCCACTTGCATCTAGATGATAATTGGCACAGGTACTCAGACTGCCATCTCTTCCTGATGTCGTAGAAGATTTTCTGTACAAGTTGCCAACGTGTGCGCTCGTCCCTTTCGGTTTCGATGATGGTGAGAGTGGGGCCACTCGCTAGAAAATGTGATGGAATGAGGAAGTTGATGTCCTCAAGATCTTCGCTCAGGGCACACAGTGGGCTTGAGTTTACGCACGCTTCCAGCTGTGACAACAATGTTGATAGCTCCTCAAAGGTAAGCTTTTGTGCTCCGTGACTCCTCGTAAGTGGAATTTTAGGCTCTTCATCGGCGCTACCCATTGTCCTCCTGCACTAGGCCACGAGGGGGCATTGAAGTGCCATTCGATCTCCATGCCTGATATAGCTGAGAGGAAATCGTCGTCCAAAATTTGTCGAAGATTGATGAATTCCTGCTGTAAGTGTTTGTTGGCGCCGACAAAGTTGGTCCCGTTGTCGCTGTGCAGGTGATGCGGGTCTCCGCAGCGTGCTGCCATTCGTCGGAGTGCTGCGAGGAATGCTGTTCACTGCGCAATCGCGTGAAAAAGTCACGTGTAGTTTTTGCTGAATAGGCGGTAATACACGGGCAGCACTAAACGGGTGAAATGAAGACACGTTGTCGAACCGCGTGGTCCCGTTTAGATCTTATCGGCACTAGATCAATGCTCGAAGGACCATTAAGATGTACGAGCTGCTGTGCTGTACATTCTTAGAAGTTGATAGAATGATAAAGGCTTGAACTGATTATGTAATTTATTCTGATATTATTGATAGTGAGTACAATACGCGACGACGAATGATTGCGTACTGAATTCATGAGAATGAAAAATTATACAATAAGGTAAAAGTGCTGATGTGCAGAAATGTGCAGTTTGCAAAGACCGAACAAGACGGGATTATAAAATTAAAATCCCAAGTAATTAAAAAAGGATTTGTTTATTATCTACAATATAATATATTTACAAATTATGGCTTTATTAGCTTAATCTTACTTTTAATATCAATTTATTATCGTAAATATTTAAAAAATACTGTGTTAATTAACATTATTAAACGAACGTTGTAGTTTCTGTCTCGGTGATCGTCTTCTCGGTGATATATGCACGGCTTTAAGAGGAGTATTTAATTTCTTTATATCGTGAGAAGCCACCGGTGTCCGTAAATTTCTTGGTTGACATAATGGTTTCTTCATAGCTGGCGTCTGAGGAGTTTTCATAAGCACACTTTGTGGCGAAACTACTTTCCTTACAGGCGGTGTTGTTTTCCGATTAAGTCTCCAGTTATTAACGTCTTCCTTTCCTTGATTAGTGGGCGGGTAGGGTCGTAGGGTGTTCTTACCGCTATAATCTACTACCCTATTTAAACGACTAGGAGCATTTGGCGACGCGTGCATATTTACTGGGACCTTCGACTTTGTGTTTGTGACACTTTTTAATGGTTTATTTTGATGTTGGCCGTTTACTCTCGGTCTCCTTGCAAAACCGGAATGCATTTTGTCATTTCCCTCTGACGACTTGTCGGAGCTGGACTCGAATAGCTTCGCTTTAGCGAGTACAGCGCCGGCGTTCTGCTGTCGCAACTTGTTCACTGACGGACGTCCCGATTGACCGTTACTTTCCAATTCGCCTGTTTTATCCATAAAGAACGCAGCAGCACTGCGCCATTTCTGTTGTGAAGGTCTGTCTTTACAAAACTTGTTCGACGTTTTGTCATTACTTTGGTAACACTGAAAGTGTCCTGAATTAAATTTAGCACTGGAGTCATTTAGAGAATTCTCTGAAGCCGTTCCGTCCCAGCTATTGTTCGTTGTAATATTTAACGATCTTCGAGGCTGAAGTTTACCGATTGTTTTATCTAAATTACCGTCAGGTGCGAGACTAATTCTTCTTCGGAGCCTGTACTTTTGACTCGGGTCCGATTGGTTATTTAGTGAATTGTCCGACGCAAAAACGTCCCATTCATCGAATGAAGTATTTTGCGTTTTATCGGCCAAATCTGACTTTTCTGTTCTCGTCCTTTCTCTTGATATCATTCCAGTATACGGATAGAATCTATCTGAATTATGACTAGCTTGTGATTGGGAGGAAGCGTTCCATGACTTGTGTCTCACAATTTTTGTTATATTTTCTTTGGAGCGACGTCTAATTGTGCCAATTTTCCTGGCGCTGGGAGATCTTATGATTTTAGCTTGTTCCTTTGGTCTAATCTTTAGTTCTTTGCTCAGGCGTCGCGCCAAATGTTCAGAGTTTGGACAGTTCAACATAGCCACTTCCTCTAATGTTTGTTCGTATGCGTTTTGAACGTGTTGTAAAGGTTGCACTCTTGGTATTACGTCTGTGAATTCTCTGGACAGCCTGTTTTCAATGGCGGATACTCTGCTTTTGATTTCCTCATACTCTTGCTTGGAGATTCTTACGTAATCCTTATCTGCTTGTTTCATATCAGGAGACAAGTCTATTGTGTCGTGAGCACTGAACAAATTTTCAGAGGAGGTTAATATGTCTTCGCTGCTCACGCTCGTTTCAGAGTTTTTATGAGAACTGAAATCAGAGTTTATTAATGGCGTACCCCTGACGTCCATTAGGCTTAGTCGTAACCTTTTCCGTTCTGTGATACCCCTGTAAATAAATAAAATAGTTTGAATATGAAAAGAAAAGCAAGGAAACTGTGAATACCATTACTGTTACAGCCTATTAAAAGTCCACTGCTGAACATGGGCCTCTCCCATACATTGTTTTACAGAGGGCATATTTGGCATAGTTGCCACGCTTGGCAAGCGAAATGGTAACCGCAGTTCTTTATTGTTTATGTGTTATTAGAAAGATGCTCCTGCCCATCTCCTGGTTGTATTCCCTCGTCGCCTCTTACGGCGCCCACGGGACAAGGGGTATTGGGTCTGGAATCTGACACACCACTACAATTTGACGATTAATTTTGTGGAAATGAGAACAAAATAAATGTTTCTTACATTTTCATCGGCGTGAAGGATAACTCTTTCTGTGGCAGATTTTTCGTGACTTCTTTCCTGTTAATACAATAAAGCTGTTACTTTTAAAATTAAAAATGGTAAATATTAAAGATGATACAATTAATTAGTTACGACCTGTATGAAACAATTAAATGGTGTAATAATAATGATATATAAGGACTAGGTAATGCTTTCCCTACATCTGTCACACAATAGTGTGCAATATCACCGGCGCTACTAAATTTAACTCCATTTATACTGCTTCTATTTAAACTTAGTTGTGTATTTCCTAGTATAAATACGGGTTAAAAAGTTCACGGATTGTAGGGGTTAAAGGGGAGGGGGATTTTTTTAAGTATCACCACTTGGTGACTCAATAAAACTATAAATACCAAATTTCAGCCAGATCCGTTCATTAACCTTTGAGATATGTCGAGATAAAAAAGTCAATCGGCAAGTGAACATCAACTATGGAGGAAATTGTTCTTAAAAATGCTTGTCTGAAGAAAAAAACAGATAGCAGAAATGACTGAAATATCATCTAAGACCATTTTAAACATTCTCCATAACCACATTGGCATGTCTAAGGTGCAAGATGGGTGCCAAGACTGGTCACACTGTTTCAGAAACAGAGTGGGTCGAGTGTTCGCGCGAAATTTTGTAGTGAGAATAGGGGTGCAATTATGAACCTAATTGTGACTGGGGATGAAACTTGAGTTTATCACTATAAACTTGTGTCAGAGAAGGAGCCCATGCCGAATGCCCATGCATAAAAAAGGCACTGCATCGCCTAAGGAGGTCAAGGTGTCAATATAAAAAATTAAAAGGTACGATTAAAGAAAAACGAAGGGGAAAGTGACCCCGAGGTGTGCTCCTTTTGCACGACAACGCATCTGTTCACAAGAGTCATGTTGTGATGGCTACCTTACACAAGTGCGACATCGAAACTTTTAACCAACCCCCTATAGTCCAGATTTGGCTATTTTGCATTATTATTTGAAGCCAAATTTGAAAAAAAATACGTCAGTGCGAGTCAGATTCGCGCATGAAGGGTTCCGTGCCATCGTAAAACACGTTTCTAGTAGGGGAACCCCTTTTAATTTTTAATTTATTTTTATTATTTGTTGTTATAGCGGTAACAGAAATACAGATTCTGTGAAAATTAACACAGCCTGCTGACAGACAGAAGGACGGACGGACAGCGGAGGCTTAGTAATAGGGTCCCGTTGGTTACCCTTTGGGGTGACAACGCATCTGAATTTTGATTCTTAATTGAGGATAAATGTCTATGTCTATGGACCACAGCATTTACTAACAATCAGGTGGACTGTGTGCCGGAACGATAAAGAACTTCGGAGAAAGACATTTACAGATGACGAAGAAGTGAAGTCGGCAATTCCCATTTTGAGGTCCTTGACAAAACAATTTTTTTTTATTCAAAGGTATAAATAAGTTATTTGAACGGACTGACAAGTTTATTCCGGTTAATTGAGAATATATTGAAAACATCGATCATTGAAAAGGAAAAATAATTTCATGTTTAATTTCACCCCCTATTCCTTTCATTCCGGGAAGTTTTTGACCTCCCTTCGTAGGTTAGCTATTAAAGACTAGAAAATAACTTCGTCCATAATACGATACGTGTTTCGCCTCTAAGGGAGGTGATATTATAAGAAATAAAGTCTGCGAAGGCTAACTGCTATGGTTAAGCTAAATCTCCATACATGTAGGCAAGATCACTACTTTATTGCTTACATTTACAACAGTATAAAAAAAAATAACAAAGATGCGGTTACGGTAAGTTCTTGCAATTAAGTAAAAAAGAGACTATATGCAACAGTATACGATACATGGTTATTTTTATAAGAGTAGCCAAATTTTAAACTAAGTTCAAATATATAAATAATGAGATACCGTTATTGCAGTTTTTGAAAATATGAGTAAATAAGGCTTCTACTTTTATTTAAAATTATCCCAAATTGAATGCGATTTATGAGCAAGGACGTTTCTGCCTATTGATTGGCCCTTACAAATGTGTGCGTGCGCAGTAAAATCAGTTATAATAATGCATTACTGAATTTAAAAGATAAAAGGGATTGAATGTCTGAGATTTTTATTAATTAATTGTTCTTCACCATTTGCCTATATTACTTATTCAGAACCTTCTCTGCAAATTTCGCCCGTTATTGCAAAATTAACCCTGTATAAAGACTGATTATTTTGACGATACACTTACTTTATTTTGGCAGAAAGGCCCTCGTAGCCGTCTAACTTCCTTTTGGACGCCGATTTGCTAAGGATAGGGGTTTTTCCATTTTCGGGCACCGTCGCTGGTGTGTTCGCGTTTCCGGACACCATTTTACGAAGACCGCTGAGCATTCCTGATATAATGATAATATAAATGTTGTTTGTACTTCAATTACAATATGTTCATATAAGAAGTAAAAGGGTGACGTTATATCCCCGAAACTCTTCACCGCTGCATTGGAAAACTGATCCAAGCTACTGGACTGGAAAGGATACGGTATTAACATCAATGGCGAGTACGTCACTCACCTTCGATTTGCCGACACTATAGTCCTTATGACCTAAGCACTATGCTCAATGTCCTCAATAGTGCCTCCCAACGGATAGGTCTTAAGATGAACATTGACAAAACAAAGTTCATGTATAACGTCCATGTCACACCTATGTCGGTAGTTGTTGGGAGCACTAAGCTCGAAGTTGTTGACGAGTATGTTTACCTGGGACAAATAGTCCGACTAGGTAAGTCCAACTTCGACCGAGAGGTCAATGGACGGATTCAACTCGGCTGGGCTGCGTTCGGGAAATTACGATACATCTTCTCGTCAGGTATACGTCAAAACTTGAAAACAAGACTGTACAACCAGTGCGTGTTACCAGTGATGACTTATGGAACTGAGACGTGGTCCTTCACTGCTGGCCGTATGGAGAAGCTCAAGGTCGCTCAGCGAGCTATAGAGAGGGCTATGCTTGGGGTTGCTCTGTGAGATAAATTTAGAAATGAGGATATCCGCAGTAGAACCAGTGACCGACATAGCCCCACGGATTAGTATTCTGAAGTGGCAATAGGCCGGCCATATAGCTCGAAGAACCGACAACCGATGGGTAAAAAAGGTTCTCGAGTGGCAGCCTCATACCAGTAGGCGAAGTGTAGGGCGACCCCTCACTAGATCGAATGATGACCTGGTAAGATGACATGCAGAAAGTCGAAGGATGCAGGTGGCTCAGGACCGTGCTTTGTGGCAATCCTTGGGGGAGGCCTATGTTCAGCAGTGGACTTGTGAAGGGCTGTAATGATGATGATGATAAGAGGTAAATACTGTGTAATGGCAGCGTAAAAAATCCACTACCCCACATCATTCCGTGATTGTCGTAACTTGCGACATAAGAAAAGAGATGGGTAGTTGTTACATCTTTCTGAAAAACTTAAAATATAAAAAAGAAACCACATGCCGAGCTTGACAACAGATAAACTGAAATGATTTTTTTTTAATTTGACGTAAGAAATTCAAATATTATTGGTCAAACGACAAAATATTTTTTAATCGTCTCTGGGTGCTCAATTAGAAACAAAAGAGCACTATCCTGCTATATATTTTATGGCGGTGGTCAGTGTCGTGGACATTCCCCGGTCAAGCCGACCCATTTGTGATACAAACGCAGCATAGCTTACCATATAGGTGACAAAGCAAATAAAACAGAAATATCTATACTTTAGTTATGTTCGCTGAAAGGATTTTATGTGTCTCGAAACAAATTATTGAAACACTCAAATATATTTTTTATGTTGTTTTATAACAAGTGCTCGGAATAGGTCACGGAACAAATACACGCGTTGTTACATAGTGAAATCTAATAACAACACCTCCTCTTTATATTTGCTCCGTGAAATAGGTAGTCATCTTAAGGGTGAATGACCTTAAACGTTGTATTAATATGGATAAGCCTTGTGGGAAGCGGGATTTTATTATTTGTTATAATCAAATGTTTTTCTTCTGACGACAATAAATATTTACTTAATTGCTATATATTTTGAATTTCTTTATTATTTTTCAATTCTTTATTATAAAAATGATTTTGCGGCTTTATACAAGTAATACTTCATAATATTGTAAAGTATCTAGAAAAATGCTTCTAAATACTTTCTGTATAAAGCAGCAACAGGATTTGTTTTATAAATTGAGATAAGTTTTCTAGTTTTTTAAGGGGTGGGCTCCGGATTTGCACAATTGTTACTGTGTGATACTCCCAACTAAGCTATCGTTTTGAGTTAATTTAAAGTTCCCTGATTAATTATTGCTTGCTTATGCGTTACGCAGATTGACAAAAATGGCTTTATTACTATATATTATATTAACCTTGGTAAATTTACAAGTATTAATAAAATTCAGATTGCATTTTTAAACATTTATTTTCAACAATGTTTCTTATATAAATAAAAACAATATCAACTAATCATCGTCATTTTCAACATTATCTGTGCTTTCTATAGAATTGAAATAAATTACAATTATTTTCTCTAAATATTCCATCTTCGGTCTATTCCTTTTTACATCTCAAATACATTTATAAGTGAAAAATAACCGTTCAACTTCTACTGATGTCAGTGAAGCAAATTTATAAAACATCATGTCATTGGTAGCAGTTTTGTTACTAATTTGTTCTGAATACGTCCTGATGACTGCTTCTAATTTCTCTTTAATCTGCGAATACGAACTCCAAGCTACAACTAACCTACTCATATCGAAAATTTCCAAACTTTATATTAAAGATAAATTGCGCTTTTGTATTTGGGTCAGACCTAATTCGATAATACTAAAATTGGTATCAATAAAATCAAGGTCATTTTTGATGCTTTGTTTTCGTATAATATTTTTATCGTTTCTCTGTGTATAAATTGTATAAGTTTTTGGAAGAAGTTGTCCTGATAAACTTTTCTAAGCACTGACTCGCTTGGTAGTGTTAGGCGATTAGTGCAGGAACAACAAATGTACTGCACGAAAAAGTTTTTGAATGCTGGGATTTCTACTTGAGAACCACGGAGTGTTACAGAAAATAAGATGGACTTAATATAAAAATCTTCTTGGAGCTTCGGAAGAGTTCCTTTATGCTTAGCACCATTGACTTGTCTTTCAATGGTACTTTTTCGACACCCAACAGTGCATTCACATTTACTACAGTAAATAGTGTGGTTTGTTGATTGGAAGAATAGTTCAGCATAATGTTCAATCCATCGATGAACGGTTTCCTCTGCAGACTGCCACGCCTATCTGCATCCAAAAACAAAATACTTGTCCGTATATTTTTTATCAGAATAATAAGGAATAATAAAATTAAACAAAATGTATAAAAAGTCAGCGCTAATTTATTGCTAAGCAAGATGCTACTCACGACTTCATCCACTTAGTCTATCAAACAAATGGGTTTTAATTTACCTGTACGAAATCCTTATTCTTTTTTTAAATAAAAATAGCCGAAGTTACTCCTTAGCTTAAAGGAAAAATAAAATAAAACTTACCGGGATCTTCGTCCAAACAAAACCAAAGCAAATCGTTACAGTAACTTAAAGTCCGTTTACACTAGGCAAAATAGTCGTGAATAGAAGACAGATCAGTCCGTAAATCAAGCAGAAGGATCATCAAAATAAACCAGTCACCACAAAATCACCACTTGCGCACTCAATGAACCAAGGACCGTAAGTAATACGAAATCCCAATTGTATAGGGGACATTAGAAAAGAAAGTGACAACGCTTACTAAACATCATTTTGTCTCTCTTTCTCTCGCACATATTAACAATTACTTTTACGCTCTAATCAACCATCGCCATAATAAACAATGCATTTACCAGGTAGTTTATTACTTTAAATTTTAAGAATTAAATTGATCGTATTAAATTCCAACTAACTAGGGTTTAAAGGCATATCCATATTAGGACAACGCAAGGAAATTACACAAAATTGCACTACCTATTCCGATCAATATTTATGCCTTCGCACTAACTTCTTCATCTCCCAAGCCCAGATTTCATATCCTAAATACTCTCTGTCTCTTCAAGTATTGAGTATTGGAATGTGTTAAATAGAAGTAGAAGCGATTTCGCTATAAATTACAGTAACATAACAATTAATGCACCACCGCTTAAATTTTGGTAGAATAAGTCCCTCATTAAAATGTTATTAAAACCGGCCTGCGGATACAAATGTTATGCTTACGATTTAGTGACCCGCTCCGTCTTTTCTTTCTTCTTGATTTATAAACATCAGAGTCATCATCCAGTTGTGTCATGAGATCGTCCGTTAGAACACCAATGTGTTGAGAGTTTTCTATGAACATCTGTAATTAAAGTAAATTATAAACTAAATAATAATATCTCATTTGAAAAAATATCGGCCAACATATACTATAAACATTTGAAAAAGATAAAGGTGCAAAAATGCCTTACGAACGGTTCTCCCCGCGGAAATACGAATATAAAGATGAAACGCATTTTAGAGTTAACAAACCCTAAGTATTCTGGCAGTTGTGTCTGGTGATGTATTGTCATAGTGCCAGAGATGTTGTTTTTTAATAGACTGAGGGTGACAAACGAGCACACAGTCGACTTGATGTGGCCCAAAGACACCTACATCTAACCTCGATTAAGAGTCAAAATGTAGATGCGTTGAACCTGAGCATTAGCAATGTCTCGTTACTAGTAAAAAAAGATTACCGGTTCTTACACTCACCATACGAAATGACCCTTTCGTGCTGCACTTTGGTCGGTTATCAACACCAAACTGACACTACTTTTGGGGTACAAATTGTCAAATACTGAGTGAAGATCTAGTCTTCAGGGATGACAATGCATCTGAATTATGATTTTAATCGATGATAGATGCTGGTCTCTATGAGCCACGACATCCCCTCATCATCAGGTCAAATGTGTTCTCGTTCGTGTCCATTTACCTCTATAAATCTTTATATATAAAAATTACGTGTCACGTTGTTTGTCCGCGATGTACTCCTAGACTACTGAACTGATTTCAATTAAATTTTGCACATAGTGTGCATTTTGGTGCAACTTGAGAGATAGGATAGTTTTTATCCCGATAAATGACCCTCAAAATTTTTTATTGCGAATTTAAGGATTTTTATAGGAAGGGTCGTATTGAAAGGGCAGAACAAAGTCTGCCTGGCGAGCTAGTACAATTCTTTAAAACATTTTAATTTCTACCAAAGACGGACGCGACGTTGGCTGTCAGACTTTCGCTGTTAATCCTATCCTATCACTGTAGACTTGGGTATTTGATCAATGTAAACCTCAACAAGTAAACAGAATCCACAAAGAGATTGATTGCATTACTACAAGCTGAATACAGTTATACGGGTTCATTAAAGGCCAATTAATCGCGTGCTGCAAGTATAGGGCTTGAAGAGGATTGTGAAGTGCCGATACGCGGCGCGAGTAGGTATTATGATAAATGCAATCTATTTCATACCGTTCGCTCTGTATCGCCGTTTGGTGCGATAGAAAGAGATGCAAGTCTTGGAAGCAATTGGCTACATTTACTTTTTTTTTTAGTAATACAGTTTAGTCTAATTAAATTTTTGGACTTGTCCAAAATATAGGTATTTAGATGCTAATAACTTATATCGTACGTAATATTTCTTTAAAATAAAAAAGTACAGACCTAGTTTTTCATTATATCTACAACATTTAAAAAATTATGAATATTAGACTATGTTTACGGGTGGAAAACGTTATCGCTTTTTGTTAAAAATTTACAGTTTCACAACCCCTTTAACTTATCGTCTTTTTAAGACAACTGTTAACAGGATGGAATTTTTTTCTGTTTTAATATAACTGATATGTGTTACTGATGAACTTAACTAAGTGTTAAAAAATTTCTTATCATTTCCTGTCGGACAGGACGGAAGCTCAAAGTTCAAGTTAAAATAACACTTTATGCACAATATAAAGTTATAACGTATAATAGACTAGGAGATGGTGACAGAAAATATTCTCCCATTTTCTCCTGCATGCCTTTTTAAGAATTGATAACTAACCCTAAAATATGAAAGAAGCCCTTGCGCGCTTGCACGTCATAAAGAAAATGGCTTCTCTTTGTGGAAAGAATTTTAGTATTTTTCCGTGACATTATATTGCATGCCTTTGTAATATAACGTAGTTGGAACAAATTTAAGCTATAATAATTGATGGCATGCAATTCGCAACGGCCGACGGGGCTCAAAGGGTTACGTAGAAATGAAAAAAAAATAGAACATTTCCGTGTTTACAAATTGCATGCCGTTGTAAAAAATTAGTTTTTTTATCTGAAAAATACTCTCCGAAAATTGACATGCACCCCTCGTATGACAAAGGGTGGAAAATATTAGGAAAATGTTGTAAAAATTCAATACAACTTTTCCGTGATTTCAAACTACTTCTAATAAAGATAAATATTAATTTTATGACCAAATTATTCTGAAATACAAATGGCATGCATGTTGCACATGATCATTATATTATAAATAATAACAAAAGTTGCAAAAAATTTAATAAACATTTCCGCGTTTCTTATTTGCATGCCGTTTTGTATTTCATAGAAACATTATTTTAAGTATATACCGAAAATGGCATACGTATTAAATAACGCGATCGTATTTTAAATAATAATGAAAGTTTCATAAAATATATGAAACATTTCCGTGTTTTTAATTTACATGCAATTATGTATTTTATAAAAAATTATTATTTTAAGTTTATGACGAAAATAGCATGCGTATTTACATCTATAGTTTAACGAAAAAAAAATGTTATAAAAAATTGAAAATGAAAATTTCTCAATTGTAATAATTTGTAATGCCCGGGCTCTGTGATCGAAATGATCCTTACTTTTATTTTCGTTAAAAAACTTTTTTAATTTTATTTTTGCACAAGTGTTTTATGTCAGGCTTGTGTAATATGCATGCCATTTCACTTAAAATAATGTTTTTTGATGAAATATTGAATGGCATGCAAAATAAAGAAACGGAAATTATAACAGCGTTTTTTGCAATTTTCGTCATGCATGCCACTACTTTACAACTTCCTGTTGTGCATGCCAAATTTGCTAACGTCAATAAATTATAAAAATTGAGTATTGTTCAAATCGATCGATCGAATCGATCTTAACTCCTTAGTTAACACAACAATGGAATCAGTGCTACTTGACGACTGTGGAGTAACAGGCCTGTAACCATTTGTAATATGGAATGACCCATAAGATAATGTTATAACTATCTGAGAGGCCAGGTCATCACAGACCAGAATATCTAAATATAACCCTAAGTAAAAACCCGCTAGTTTACTAGAAATTGCGCCTATCATGAATGACAGTTTTGATCGTTCTCAATTACAATATTTGTCTCTTACTACACTAATACGTGAAGCATACAGTATTAAGAAGATACACGAAGGAATAAAATTATTACTACCTAGTCGCACATTTTTGTGGCTCAGTCTGGTTAATGGTGCAATAATCTATATAAATAAATAAAAATGAAGTGTCTGTTTGTAATGTCAAAATAACAGCTTTTTACTACGTGCATATGAAAGTATATTCGGTACTTAATAACAAAAGCACAATTTTTTAAATTTTTGTCTGGTCAGACAGAGTCTGTCTGTTTATTCCGGCTAATCTCTAAATGGCTGAACCGATTTTGACGGGACTTTCACTGACAGATAGTTGATGTCGTAAGGAGTAACTTAGGCTACTTTTATTTTAGAAAAATAATTAGGGTTCCGCGCTTTTACGCGTTACCCTAATTATTAAGTTAAAACCTTAAATTTCACGCGGGCGAAGTCGCGGGGAGCAGGTAATAGTTATATAGGTATAAAAAATACGCGTAATGGAACGCAGCGTTGTGTCAATATTTTACAGCAATCGATGAAGCGCTTTCAGAGTTTTAGTATTTTGAATAAATGAACATTTACATTTTCATGTATATAGATATTTAAAAAAAACTCACTTTAACAAGTGCAACATGGTGCTCCAGCCTCTGTGCAGAGGATGCAGCTGGTAAGGGCATAATACTGGGTGCCAACACTATAGCTAGGTTTGATGAGTCCATTAAATTGTCCTTGTGTCTTGATGCAATAAAATTAAGTAGCTACAACAAAAAAAAAAACATTTTAAAATTATAATTTAAGTAACGCAAGGATCGGGCACTTGGCTAGATGGAGCGACGATTTGCGCAAGGCTGGCAGCGACTGGCAGCAACTGGCAGCAACCGGATGCGTGTAGCCAAAGATCGGGCTAATTGGCGCGCCTTAGGAGAGGCCTGTGTCCAGCAGTGGACTGCCGCAGGCTGACGGTGATGTAGCGCAACCAGAGTTTAATCTTGTACGACTGAAATTGTTAATCAAAATTTCATATTCTAATTCAAATTCTTATTGTATATAAGGATCGTCAGAACAAAATTCGATTTGATATGCAGGTTTTTTAAGTTTTGTTATCAACCTGTAGTTTTTTTAGGTAAGTACATGAATGGTTAATCAACCTGCACAGAAAACGATTCTTGCAACAATGGGCTTAGTTTTCGAGCACACAGTCCTGATGTTAAGTGGATACTGTAGCCCATAGACATCTCATTTTACGTGGTAGAGCTATGGGGCAGCTATATTATAGTTGTAGCACAAATGGGTTGGCTTGACCGGGTTGGGACCATGCTCTCACAGAATACCAGCGTAAAACAGCAGCTTAATGCTGCTGTGTTTCGTATGGTGAGTGTAGAGAACCGAAGACCCTTTTTACTGGAAACAAGGCACTCCCATCTCAGTCCTCATCGGTGACAACGCACCTGCATTTTGATTCTTAATTGAGGGTAAATGTAGATGACTATGGGCCACAGTAACCACTTTCCATCAGGTGGACTGTGTGCTCGTTTGTCACCCTAAAAAAAATCTAATTTATCCTTAATTAAAAATCAATATGCAGATGCGTTGTCATCCCTGAGGATTAAGATGGAATGCCTTGTATTCAGTAAATTGATCGCCGGTTCACTACACACACACCATATGAAACACAGCGGCATTAGGCTACAGCAAGCAGCACTAAGCCATTTTACGGTGGTATTCTGTGAGAGCGTGATCCTTCCTAGGACGACCCATTCGTGCTACAACTGTAATATAACTGCAGCATGGCTCTACCACGTTTGCGACTGCTGAGGTCAAAAAAATTTATATTTAAACAAAAACTGATAAATTGTAAACACAAATGCCACTATAGCCTATCACAAGTTCATTGCTCAAAGATCTCCCCCATAGATTGCCACAGTACGGCTGGCTCTAAGCCACCTGCAACCATCAACTACCTACGTGTTTCATGCTTTCATGAGGCCGTCACTCTGTCTAGTGGGGGTCACACTACGGTCGCCAGTACGAGGCTCCCTCTTGAGAACTTTCTTCCCTATCCGATGTCGCTTCTTCGAGCTATATGGCTGGCTATTTGCCATTTCAGTTTACTGATCCGCTCGGTTATGTCAGTTACTCTTGTACTTATGCGGCTATCCTCGTTACAGATTTTATCCCGCCGAGAGTTTTCCACTGCACGTTGAGTAACTATATAGTATGTTGCTAATTATGTATGACTTACACAGTTAGCAGTGAAACACTATGTTACAGCTCCGTAAGTCATCACTGGTAACTGACTGTTTGTACTGTAGGCTTAGGTCTTTGAGGAATATTGCACGAAAAGATTTGCCGCAGTTACCCGATCGCAGCACTTAATCGGAGATTTTGTCCTAGGTACACATACTCATTAACAAATTGAAGTGTAGTGTTCCCACGGTATAGGTGTATCATGACCATTAGACATGATTTTCATTTATTTAACACTTTTTTGCACTAAAAGTGCAAACGGCGGATAAAAAATATATATCAGTTTTTAAACTTACAAATAAACCTGGAATAAGAACATAACATGAAATTAACCATAATTTCAGTGGTGGCTAAACCCTATTTTATAATTACACTATTTTATTTAACTCTGGCTATGCTTTTTTGGTGCATACGGCCCCAAGGCCGGATAAAAGAGGAGGGTTGGCTAGAAGTGACAAAAGCAGCCGTAAAAGATGTCGACGCCGAACCTTGGGCGACGGTTAATTAACCCAACATCAAGACTCACTCAAAATTTCCTCTAGTGATCTTGGAGCGGCAATTTAGTGGCCGTGAGGGACTAAATCCCCTCTAAAAGTCTGAAGGTTCCGCCGTAGAGAGTGGGTGTATCCGGTGGACTAACACATACACCTACGCTAGGACCTGCGCAGTCGAGCGCCGTACGCGGGGATGAAGGAGTCCTGGAGGGTTGAGCCACTGGGGTATGTATATAGCGGCGAGAGGCAACACGTCCTCTTTGGTCCAGATTTTAAGCCAAACTTTCTGCTAGCCACAAGTAGGGAAATGGCCAAGCACCCTGTCAGAGGGTCGCAGGCGAGGGACGTGGGGGCTGCCTAGTTTCCTGAAACGGGCTAGGTGGTAGTAAAGGCCATGCTGATGGAACAAGTGACAGTCATTCAGGCAGCGGGGATGGGCCTTTTCAGCCTGCTGAATCGAACTCAAGATGTCGCGCTGTGAGCCAACGTCGCATTCCTAACGCCTGACATTTCTTTTGTTTTAAAATAGGGCGTTCCCAAAGGTGCGCGCTCCATGGAGGGTGGGAAGCCGGGGGACAAATTTAAAAATCTAATTATAAATCTATTAATAATGGTCGCTTTAAGGCCCAACAAAAAAAGTAGGAGGTGTCAGAGGCGGCTACTAGAGGCAACAACACTCAAGTAGAAACCGCCAGTAAAATAGCGACTCTAAAGAGCACGTCATCCACCGTAGGCGACCCTTTCAAGGGAATTTTTGGCGCGACTGGAGGCTCCTAAAACCAGTTTCTCGGAGCTGGATGCGTATAGGGAACAAGGGACCGCAAGTAGAAATACTCCTGCGGAGCCCCTTAGAACTAACAGCCTCTTCTCAGCTGCCTGGTAATTGGTAAGCCGTAAAGGGAAAGGCAAGGCACCCAAATAGGTGACCAGCCGACCCGACGGATCATCAAGTGGGTCTATCCCGCCAGGGAGCGGAAGAAAGGTAAAGAAAAAGAACAGGAAGCAGAGAGAGAAAGCCCGGAACTGGCTGCTCCTAAAATTAATTCGAAGGAGGCTGGAAAAACTGCTGCTCCTGAGGTACTTGGACCTGGAACCAGTAGCCGTCCTGAAACTGGAAAGGATAACAATCCAGCCCAAGTGGAAGGTACGGCTGCAGGGAATAGTTCCAATAAATCCGACAGGAAGCAGAGAGCGGCCAAGCGTCCTGGTAAAAAAAGAAAGAGCAGCCAAAAAGAGGCTAGACGAGACCACCTCGCCAAGAGGCGTCGCCAAGAGGAGAGCATAAAAAGGTCAGACTCGAACAGCAATCCAAGGCTGTAAAGACCAGCTATGCTTCCGGAGTTAAAGCTGAATTGTGTGTGGCCCTAACGAGTGCGCGTACAGGTCACATCACAAAAGAAGTAGCTGATGACATCCTCGTATCTATACAGAGGAAGATAATCAGTGAGGCTTGGAGTAGCTAAGATCCTGATGCGTCGTGCGCAGTCTTCAGAGGCAAACCCCTCTACACGGAGGGTGTCCTAAAGCTGTGTTGCGACGATTTTGGATGGCTTTGGATTGGTTGAAGGGGAATATCGTTACCCTCGACTTTAAATTCAACACCTCGCTGGTCATCAAGAAACAGTCGGAGATACCACAAAGGGTCAAATGTGGTATCCTCATCCCAGATGCCCAGGGGGCCTGAAAAGACTCAGGCGACATTGGTCGTGTACTGGCGTACCAGAACCGCTGGTTAAATATAAAAGATTGGCTGTTACTCAAGGCCGACAAACAGATGGACGGCTGGTTCCTCGTTGTTTCTATATCCCGACCCTGTTGAAAGCCGGACTCCACCTCGCATGTGTATGTGCATGTGTACGATGAGACCCGAGATCTGCTGGCAGACTTATTTTTGGGCGGGGACGGGGAGGACGCGATCAATGATGGCGTGCCCTTCGTCCAAAACTAGCCTTGTGCAGGCCAACCTCCACCACAGCGAAACTGCGTCGGCTCAATTAAGCAAGTGGTTGGAGGTTCAACGGACGGCCATAGCCCTAATCCAAGAGCCGTAGGTTGGGGCCGGTAAAATCAAAGACCTAAACAACCTAAAAGGTATGCGTGTATTTATACTGCTAAAGATAGCCGTGCACAACCATTAGCAGATTTCTGTTCCAGAGACGTGGAGGGAAGAATAGCCGTCGTCTCGGTCTCGGCTAGTGAATTTCTACGAGAGAACTGGACTAGAGGTTGTGACCGGGACGGACTCCAACGCGCATCATACCCTCTGGAGAATGGAAAACCCAATGAACGAAGTAAGGTGTTAATCTATACTAATATTATAAAGCTGCAGTGTTTGTTTGTTTGTTTGTTTATTTAAACGCGCTAATCTCTGGAATTACTGGTCCGATTTGAATGATTCTTTCAATGTTGGGTAGTCCATTTATCGAGGAAGGCTATAGGCTATGTTTTCTTTTTTCAAAATTAGGGATCCGTAATAAAATTGCTATTTTGTAACACAAGGTGTAAAATCGAAAACCTATTTTTGCGTGCGCTGCAAAAACTATTGACAATAAAACAAAATGATGTACTACGGGTTTGTAGATCCCATTAAGACCTTCAAAAAAGTCCGCGAGAACATATATCTAGCTATCATGGTTTAATCACAATAACCGATTTTGTGTTCAAATTAATTATTAAATCGTCTGAAGAAAAAAAAACTACGTGAAATATGTATCGTAATATTAATCTTTATCGAAATTAAGCATTACGTTATCAAGAGTATTTATGTAGAAGTAAAATACTTTTTGTTTCATCTTAATCGGATATTTCGTTTAAAAGTTATCACGTGTGTAAGATGTCAAGAGTTGGTACTTATTAATGAGTTATGGACCATAAAGTTTTTTATCAACATAAAATCCTGTAATAATCTTTTTCGAAATATAGTAAGTAAGATCTTTGAAGAGTATAATAAATACATTTCTAAAATAACTGATGAGACGCTGGCGGCGCGGCGGCGGGCGAGACGAGGAGGCCGCGCT